ACCAGAGAAGCCACACGGGAGAAAAGCCCTACGAATGTTTCCAGTGTGGGAAATGCTTCAGCCAGGCCGGGTGTTTGAAGACCCACCAAAGATTTCATACCGGGGAGAAGCCCTACAAATGCGCTCAGTGCGGGAAATATTTCAGGCAGGCGGGATATCTGAAGACCCACCAGAGGTTTCACACGGGAGAGAAGCCCTACAAATGCACTCACTGCGATAAATACTTCAGCCAGTCAGGATACCTGAAGACCCACCAAAGGTTTCACACCGGGGAGAAACCCTACAAATGTTCACAGTGCGGGAAGGGCTTCAGTACGGGAATAAACCTGAAGAGGCATCAGATGATTCACACCGGAGAGAAACCCTACGAATGCGCTCAGTGTGGGAAGTGTTTTAGGCAAGCCGGAAACCTGAAGAGCCATCAAAGAACTCATACGGGAGAGAAAACCTATAAATGTTCTTAGAATGGGAGATAATTCAGTTGACAACACAGTCCAACACAGCAGTTCCTTTCGGCAGTTCCAAGAAGGCTTCACACCCATTTGCACTATTTCAGGTGACCCTGAGGGCACAGATAATAATAATAATGATAAAGTTGGAAGGGACCTTGGAGGTCATCTAGTCCAACCCCCTGCTCAGGCAGGAAACCCTATGCCATTTCAGACAAATGGCTGTCCAGTCTCTTCTTAAAAACTTCCAGTGTTGGAGCATTCACCGCTTCTGGAGGCAGGTTGTTCCACTGGTTAATTGTTCTCACTGTCAGGAAGTTTCTCCTTAGTTCTAGGTTGCTTCTCTCCTTGATTAGTTTCCATCCGTTGCTCCTTGTCCTGCCTTCAGGCGCTTTGGAGAATAGCTTGACTCCCTCTTCTTTGTGGCAGCCCCTGAGATATTGGAATACTGCTATCATGTCCCCCCTCGTCCTTCTCTTCATTAAACTAGACATACCCAATTCCAGCAACCGTTCCTTATATGTTTTAGCCTCCAGTCCCCTAATCATCTTTGTTGCTCTTCTCTGTACTCTTTCTAGAGTCTCAACATCTTTTTTACATCGTGGTGACCAAAACTGGATGCAGTATTCCAAGTGTGGCCTTACCAAGGCATTGTAAAGTAGTATTAACACGTCACGTGATCTTGATTCTATCCCTCTGTTAATGCAGCCTAGCACTGTGTTGGCCTTTTTGGCAGCTGCAGCACACGGCTGGCTCATATTTAAATGATTGTCCACTAGGACTCCGAGATCTCTCTCACAGTTACTACTATTGAGCAAGGTACCCCCTATACCCCTAAACCTCCAAGCGGCCTCAACGACTCTCAAAAAGAGTGCTAACAATCAGATGACTGCAAAGAATATAAATCCTTCCATTCTCCACCATTCGGTCAGAACTGAAGAAGCTTCTTGGATGAGAAGCGAAACATCGTCAAGGAAAAACAAAGAAAGTCCAGTTGCCTTTTGAAAAAGCACCTTTGGGACAACCATGACCTGGATGGCTGAGAATCTCCATAAACAAACTCGGTTGATGTTTATAATTAAGAAAATAGGATAGACTTCATTATGAACATGTGGAGGTACAGTATCTGGAAATAACTGAAACTAGAGAGCCATCGTCAGAGATTCCATACCAGATTTGACAAACTATAGATAGTCTACTTACAGTTATTTGAAATTAAAAGAACGTTGTTAGTATTGTATACATTCCTACATCAATCAGGCAGAGTTTCTTCAAAAAAAAAAAGTTTGGGAAGATGAGGCAGGACTTAAACACTTTCCTTTGTTTAGGATTCTTCCTGGCACCGAATTTCTTTTTAATTCAGGAATTTAAATTTGATTCTTACGGAAAATTATTGCCTATTAAGATAAGTTTTCTAGACAGTCTTGGAAATGTTAGATTGGGGGGGGAAATTCAACACTTTTCTGTAATTAATCCAACTATTTGGTCTACATTTTATTTTCCCTAACTTAAACATTGGTGCAAAGTATTATTGTTAGATATGTTATTGCAAAAGTTTGGAAATCAAAGGGTTTAAGTTTTAAATGGGGGTGGGTGGAACTGGCAATATTTAGAAGGGTGGGAAATTGCCACAACTGAATAAATACAGCAGTAAAGAGTTTTGAAGGTCTGTATATCTCTTTATTCAAAATTTGTCACTATTTCTTAGCTATATTAACACCATTTTTCCTAAGAAGAAGAAAACTTTCGCATATATAAATATCTTTTTGGCTAAAAATATTGAGTATGAATGTTTAAATTTTTCTGTATCTGTATTTTATCTTTTAGATATTCACAAATAGATGTTTGTATACCTTAAAAGGGTATCAATTTATCTGTTAAGTATTAGCTTTGATTTTCGGTTGCATTTATTTCCTATCTTTTGGACAATTCAGTGCCTCTGTGTGTGTGTGTGTTAATTTTTGTTAGTCGTTTCAATAAAAAAAAATGCAGAAAGAATGATTCCAAAGAAGGCAAGTTTCAAATGTGCAGGTGGAAATTCTGATCCCAGTTGGGATCATAGATTGAGAACTACCTGTAGTTCATTTGAATGTTCACTAAATGAACTTTTTGCAAGTTGAGGACTACCCGTAGTACAATCTTAAGGTATTGTCTGATAATAATAATAATAATAATAATAATAATAATAATAATAATAATAATAATAATAATAAGAAGAAGAAGAAGAAGAAGAAGAAGAAGAAGAAGAAGAAGAAGAAGAAGAAGAAGAAGAAGAAGAAGAAGAAGAAGAAGAAGAAGAAGAAGATGATGATGATGATGATGATGATGATGGAAGGGACCTTGGAGGTCATCTAGTCCAACCCCCTGCTCAGGCAGGAAACCCTATGCCATTTCAGACAAATGGCTGTCCAGTCTCTTCTTAAAAACTTCCAGTGTTGGAGCATTCACCGCTTCTGGAGGCAGGTTGTTCCACTGGTTAATTGTTCTAACTGTCAGGAAGTTTCTCCTTAGTTCTAGGTTGCTTCTCTCCTTGATCAGTTTCCACCCGTTGCTTCTTGTCCTGCCTTCATGCACTTTAGAGAAGAGCTTGACTCCCTCTTCTTTGTGGCAGCCCCTGAGATATTGGAACACTGCTATCATGTTCCCCCTCGTCCTTCTCTTCATTAAACTAGACATACCCAATTCCAGCAGCCCTTCCTTATATGCTTTAACCTCCAGTCCCCTAATCATCTTTGTTGCTCTTCTCTGTACTCTTTCTAAAGTCTCAACATCTTTTTTACATCGTGGTGACCAAAACTGGATGCAAATGTTAGGCTAATTTCTGGAAATCCTGAAGATCAGTGGCTATTAGCCTTGATGGCTGTGGGACTGTCTTTGATGACCATCTGCTGGGAAATAAGTGGGCTCTCTTGAGCAGTTGGTGGCCCACAGTGAAAACAGATTGCTAGACTACGTAGGCCAGGGGTCCAATCCAGGGGCGCTGCTTGTGTTCTTAAGGAGATGCTTGTGAGGAAATGAGATAGATCAAACCAACTGAAATATCTTGCTAATTCTGGAAAAAAATGTGCAAAACAGAGTGAGTGAACAAGAACAGCCAACACGGAGCTTCATAGGGTAAACCAAAGTACACCGATAGATGACAAGGATGTGATGTCCTATTCTGTGGGAAAAAGTTCTTACAAAAAGATGGAATAAATTAGAACAATGACTTTCCAACCAGCTGAAGCTACCGGTAGTTTTACAGCTGTAAACGGCCCATAGTCATTTGGTTGAAATGAGAAATTAAATCAGGGGTCTTCAAACCTGGCCCTTTTAGGACTTGTGGACTTCAACTCCCAGAATTCCTCAACCTGGCTAAGGAATTCTGGGAGTTGAAGTCCACAAGTCATAAAAGGGCCAAGTTTGAAGACCCCTGAATTAAATCAATCAGTGAATCCATCCGTGGCTGCTGAAGATACTATGGACCAGGGGTAGGCAACCTGGGCTCTTTTATGACTCGTGGACTTCAACTCCCAGAATTCCTGAGCCAGCCTGGCTCAGCTTGGAAACCTCTCCCTTTCCCCTCAGCATGGCTGGCTCAGGAATTCTGGGAGTTGAAGTCCACAAGTCATAAAAGGGCCAGGTTTGAAGACCCCTGAATTAAATCAATCAGTTAATCCATCCGTGGCTGCTGAAGATACTATGGACTAGGGATAGGCAACCGTGTCTCTTTTATGACTTGTGGACTTCAACTCCCAGAATTCCTCAGCCAGCCACGCTGAGGGGAAAGGGAGAGGTTTCCAAGCTGAGCCATGCTGGCTCAGGAATTCTGGGAGTTGAAGTCCACGAGTCATAAAAGAACCAAGGTTGCCTACCCCTGTTATGGACCAACAGTGTGGATGGACTCAGTTAGTCTCCCAACCCCAATGTCTGGGAGAATAGCCAGGTCTTCAAAAGGTGATCAGAATTAGGAGTAGGCAAGGTGTTCCAAAAGGCAGCCCAACTATTGGAAAGGCCCATTTCCTGGGTCCCACTGACAGATGAGACCCAGAGTAAGGCCCTCCTACCCCACCTAATGGACAGATAGAATCAATGTCAGTAGGACAGTCCTTCAGATACGTGGTCCTATGCCCCATAAGGTTTTATAGATAATAAATTCAATTCCACCTGAAACTTGTACTGTACTAGCTGCTCATTAATGGTTTTTCACTCAAAGGCATTTTTGGGACATAACAAAGATTCAGTCCTGCACTCTATAATTTTCAATTTTTTTTAACTAATGAATTTTATGAAGAAGAGGTTGAAAGGATCATCAAATGTGCAGATGACATAAAACAGTTGGAAGGCTAATGTCTTAAGACAGAAGTAAAACTTCCAAAAAACTCATGGTAGGTTAAAGGAACGGGCTGGAAATAACAGAGCAAACCGTACCATTTATCAGTTTGGTTCCTAAGTTAATTATCACCCTGTTCACTAAGAAACCTTAATTAAGAACTAGAAATGGGCATATAAACGAATGGGGAATATCTGGTTTGCTAAAATTACTTCGGAAATGTATCTCAGACTAGCATTGACTGTAAATAAGTCAACAGTGTAGGATGGCCACGCAATAGGAAAATGTAACTGTAGGCTCCATCAACAGAAGCATAATTTCTAAATTACGGGAAGTAATTGTTGCATTTTATTTCATTTTGGGCAAACCACACATGAAGTATTGTGTCTGGTTGTGGGTGCCACACCTAAGAAGGATTCAACAAAAGAGGAAGCCTCTCTGTTGCTCTACAGATTTTCTTAAAATTGCTAGGCAGAGAAGCTATTTTTGAAATGTTTCTAGGGCTGGAGATGAGAGGTAACTGACAGTCTTGTATGTAAATGATGCTGTTCTGCAGGGATGCTATTTGATGGCAGCTGTACTCACTACTGCTAGTAACAAATGCATTTACCACGGACCTGTAAGTAAATTTACAGTTAAGTGTTAACAATTTAATATCTTTACTGTTTCTATGCCTTTTGTAGTTTTGCGTGTGGCCCAGAGTCCACTGGAGTTGGGTGGCCAAAACTCTGAATGAATGAGCCAATAAATAAATAATGCATTG